CTGCCTCAGCCTCCCGAGTAGCTGGGACTACAGGCATGCTGCCACCATGCCCGGCTAATTTTTTCTCTCTATATATATTTTTAGTTGTCCAGATCATTTCTTTCTATTTCTTGGTAGAGGCGGGGTCTCACTCTTGCTCAGGCTGGTCTAGAACTCCTGACCTTGAGCGATCCACCCGCCTTGGCCTCCCAGAGTGCTAGGATTATAGGCGTGAGCCACCGCGCCCAGCCTCTCACTTTCTTTAAGTGGGAACAAAGTTCGATATATTTTTGTAATGTGGAGAATAGATGTGATATGGATGAAGCTGAAAAAGGAAGATTACTGATACTACAAAAGAGTATGTGCTTTGAGTTTAGTTTTTAGTAATGGCGGCAACTGTATTTAGATTCATTAATTTTTCCCCTAGTCCAAATGTATATATATCACTGGGGCTAGGAGTACAGACTGTGGCTTTGAAACAGAGTAAAGCTAACTAGTCCACCTGGAGGTGAAACCCCAGGACCATAATCTCAATTAGCATCATACTACAACCAATTAGAAGCAGTCCACCTACCAGACAAAATGGCTGTCCTAAAATATTGGTAGAATCATATCAATATGGGAAATTGGTTGGTGTCAACATAGGTATTTATGGATGGACAAAAATAGTAAGTGATTGTGTTGCACCAAGTTAGTGTAGCTGCAAATACGCCTGTAAATTTTTGTTTACTTATGTAAACATTTTCGCAGTTACAACTAATGAAAAAATCGAATAATATGTTAACCTGTTTGTGAAAGTGTAAATGTAAATACTTTTAGTCCTGCTATTAATAATCCTTGCATTCTTTTTTCCTCTCCCTCAGACCATATATTGTGATTATAGTCTCTGCTGAGAAGGATGGAAACACAACTCCCTTTGAATAATATTAATAATTCTACTTGATGTACAGAACCAGAATGCAAGAGAGTTTAAAGTGCCACTACCCCTTGTGGGAAGCTTTTTATAGTATCTTAAGTGTATGGAACCACTGCTGCAACCACTTGCCACCTGAAGCTTCAGCTACACTGAAACTTCATAATAAAACTTAACCTCCTTTTTTTTGAGACAGAGTCTCACTCTTTTGCCCGGGCTAGAGTGAGTGCCGTGGTGTCAGCCTATCTCACAGCAACCTCAAACTCCTGGGCTCAAGCAATCCTTCTGCCTCAGCCTCCCGAGTCGCTGGGACTACAGGCATGCGCCACCATGCCTTTTTAGTAGAGACGGGGTCTCGCTCTTGCTCAGGCTGGTTTCGAACTCCTGAGCTCAAACAGTCCGCCTGCCTTGGCCTCCCAGAGTGTTAGGATTACAGGCGTGAGCCACCGCGCCCAGCCTAAAAACTCATTTCTTAAAGATTGTTTTAGTATTGTTGTACAAACAAAACTATGGCATTATTCAGTGACCTGTGGTCTTAGTTTCTGCCCATTGCTAAAGATGGCTTTGTTCTCTGATATAATGTCAAGATCTTGGGCACCTTGTTAAATAAGTCTTTCAAACATTCTACCTCATAACAAGTAAATTTGGTATGTAAAGATTCTGTAATTAGTTAATTGGATAACTCATTAGTTATGCAGAAGATTGTCTGAAGATTGCTTTACAAATCTGAGGTCCCTTTGGCTATGTGTATAAATGGTATTTCCCGTTTTAGGCTTTTTTCTTCTTTTTCTATCTTAAAAAAATATGTTATTGCTGTCTTCTAAATTACAAAACAATAGCCATACTCCCTAGGGACCCACAATAATATCTTGTTGATCTGTTTACAGTCATATAACAAATATTTTTCTCTGGGTCATTTTCTATCTGTGTAATAGTCCCTAAAACTATTAGCTCCCCCTTACGTGCCATTTGTATAACAATTCCTTAATAAATTATATTAATGGGAGAATCTGTGAGTTATGTCTGAATTCTTAAGCTTGTTGTCTTACAGTTGTCCCTTTTTCCTTTATTTTTCTCAAATGTTCTACCTCAGAAGAATAAAATAGTTCACACTGACTTAGGCACTTAGCTGCAGAAAGGTAGAGAGGAAGATAAAAATGGAGCTTTCCTCTGCTACAGGCTTAGTCAAGCTTGTTGCCCGGTAATGGTTGGCAAAGGCAGTCAGAATGGCATTGAGTATTTTGCTGATACCTACTTTTGCTTATTTACAAATTGAACCCTCTCTTCCATTTTTCTTCTGCTCGCGTATGTTTCATTTTTGTTTTCCTCTTCCCTGCTTATCATTTAGGCATGTGACATCCGCTAGCATTGATTTAATTTTGCTGATGACACTCAGTGGCAAAGCTTTACTAGACCCTTACTCATTTCACTTTCTCTTGCTAATTTACTTGACTAGATATCTAAGAAGCAGGGTAAGCATTAGCTCTTTGTTCACGGAGAATAATAAAACTTGCAAGATACTAATTTGGATAGTTTTGCCTACATTTCATTATTTCTCTTTCCCTTGTTCATTTGTTATGACATTTTAAATTATTTACATATCCACATTTGTTCTGCACTTTTCCTCTGGCTCAATTCACTATGCTTTTTTCTAAAACTAGTAGCTTTCTCTGGGTTGGGAAAAAAGATCTGAATACCAAAGAAAATAATAGTTGTGTTTTTTGTAGTCAAATATTGGAGACAATGGGTTAAATTAAATTATTGGGTTTTGTTGGTAATATTTTATGTCACCTTTTTTTTAAAACTTGTCTGTTTGCATTCATGTATTGTTACTTTTACTAAAGAGTATTTTACTTCTAAGGAAAGTTTTATGTTATCACTCCATGTCATTCTTGTTCCAGAGGTATGTTATTTCCTGTATTGTAATAAATATCAGTGGGAAAGTAGGATTCATTACATAGAAATTTACCTTATAGGCACCGTTCAAGAATAAATCTCTTGCATAAAATGAGAAAAGATTTGTACTGAGATCTTTGGCTTTTTTCTATCCTTTATCAGATTTTTAAAACAAAAATTTGAATTTGTGTTCAAATCTATTTAATAGTATTCTGGGTATTGTGTAATCTAGAGCATTATTTCTGTATCTCAGGAAGCTGAATATGGTGGGCATGATCAGATAGATTTGTATGATGATGTCATATCTCCATCTGCAAATAATGGAGATGCTCCAGAAGACCGGGATTACATGGATACTCTCCCACCAACTGTTGGTGATGATGTGGGTAAAGGAGCGGCACCAAATGTTGTCTATACATATACTGGAAAGAGAATTGCATTATATATTGGAAATCTAACATGGGTAAGTAAAGTTAACATATTAATTAAATTATTGGTTATTGATTTTGAGCTGCTCTAGTAGTTGATATTTTTTCTCCAGTTTTTTAAAATAAAGGTTTGAAGTTACTATATTTGTGTTTTTTATGTTTGCTTATGCAATGAGGAGGGAAATACAAGTACCTTTAAAACATTAATTCCATTTCTTCTAGTATTGAATTTTGTGGTCATTCAACTTGTCTTGGTAGAGATACTAGTTAAATATAGTTAAATTGTTTTTTGTCTTCAATTATTCTTTATATGTTACTACTTTTACCTCACTTCAGATATGCCAGTTTTCCCAAGAAGAATACATCGGGTCTCAAACCAGGATTCAGAAGTATAGAAAGAGAGGAAGAAATATGGTTTAAAAATAGTGTTCATTTTCTAATTAATATTACAGACTTGAGTTTCATTTCTGCTCTTCAATTTAAAATCCAATTTATGGAAACATTGCTATATATATCATATTTTAATTTAAGTTTGTGAGACTATAAGATTATTGGTTGAGAGTGTCATTAGCTGCATGTATGTTTCGATTTATAGTTTTACTAGCATTAAATCTTAAATATTCACTCAAACAGCCCTTATAGAATTTTTACATCTTTGCTTAGTTGTTACATACACTTAAAAGTTAAAAAACTGTATATCTAAAAATCAGAATAAAACTTCCGTTTCTTTAATAACATTTTATTTAAAATGTTTTGTTTACATTTCTTTTAAAACTGATTGTGGGCCTGGCGGGGTGGCTCACGCCTATAATCCTAGCACTCTGGGAGGCCAAGGCAGACAGATTGTTTGAGCTCAGGAGTTCGAAACCAGCCTGAGCAAGAGCGAGACCCCGTCTCTACT